GGAACAGGACACAGATTAAGATGGTCAAGGTCCCTTCACCCCCAGGTGATGTCTGGAGTAAGGAAGGAAGAAAATAGGAGAGCAAAGAGGTGTGTCACAGCCTTCCAAACACTTACACTTTGTTTCCCACCACTCTCCTCTCGGAACTCAGGTACCTACCAGCCAAACTGCATCGAAACCCCGGTTCTCCCAGTACAGCCTGAGTGCCCAGCCTTGGTCATTTCCTCCATCTTGCAGAGCTATTTTTAGGGGTATACATCTTATCCTCCAAACAGTTCACAGATTCTTTGAGGATATGTGTTAATTTTCAATCCTCCCACAGTGCCAGGCTCAGTGCCTTTGACATAGCAGGTAGTCAAGAAAGTTGTTGAATGAATGAAGCAGTAAGTTAAGTAATGAGTGATTGTGTCATTTTTATACAGTTTTCTGTCTGTGCCCTATCTGTGTCTGACTTGACCACTACATCATCATCAAGTTCCATTGTCATCTACAATTATGAATTAAAGGCAAAAATTAAATCCTCAGGTTTGGTGTGTGTTTTTTTAAGTAAAGGTCCCTTAACTTTCTTCCAGTTGACTATGCCAAGCTTCTTCCTTATATGTGGGCCTCATTAGAGTTTTTAAAAGTAACTCCTTATCTTTTTCCTTTTAAACTTTCTGTTTTGGCATCATTTTAGATTCACATGCAGTTGTAAGAAGTAATACAGAGACATCCTGTGTACCCTTCACCCAGTTTTTTCCAATGGTAACAGTTCATAAGTATAGTACAATATCACAACCAGGAAATTGACATTGATTTCTACGTGTGTGTGTGTGTGTGTGTGTGTGTGTGTGTGTACATTAATGATACAGATTCTTTCAAAGCCAATAATCATCATAGTTTCAAAAACCTTTGCCTTTAAAATAGTTATCTCTCATTTAAGTAAGTCATTTCGAAAGCATTTTTCTTATTTATGTTTTCTGTATTTGGAGTATTCAGTGTGCCTGCCTGCTGTCAAGGTCATAAGGTGTACTTATGAGCACACTTACTCTGCAAGTGAACTAGTAGCACTGCGGTTGAAATTGTACTGCCTTTTCCCACCTCCCCTCCCCCACCACTTTGAGTAAACAGGTATACACACACACACACGCACACACACACACACACACACACTGATTTTCTGCTGCTTGCCTTTTTTTATGCCTGAGTACCTTGCTGACAAGTGCTAATAACAAAATACCAGAGAGAGTCCAGTTGAAGTTAGCATACATTAAACATTCTGAACTTGTCCTTTTGCTCATAGATTGTGCATAATTAATAATTAAACAGTTTCAGTTGTAATGGGTTGACCTTCCTGAACTGTTCATTATTCACAAGGCAAAGGCATCACTCAAACTTTTTTCCCATTGTCCTTCGCTGCTCTCTGCATGCCGCCTGCTTGTGTTCCTGTTGTTTAGCAAAAGGGGCTGACCAGGTAGTTACTGGGGCCTCAGAGACTTGGAGACGGTTCTCTTGATGGCCAGGATTGCTTACTGAAGTGGTTCATAACAGCTGTTTGTATGTTACAGTTGCTGCTCCATGTCAAGATCCAGCTCGTGTCCCTTTAGCAGGACTGCGGTTGATTTGGGACTGGAGCTCAGGCTAAGGCTTTTGGTTAAGGTCGTGTCGCTGTTTTGCTCCATACCTCCATGCTTAGATGCTAAATGAATAGCATCCCCAAAAAACCCTTAAGGTGAAGTACGGCACCCAGGGTCTTAAAATGAGTGACTTTTATTAACAATTTGGAGTCCGTTTCAGCCAGTCCTGAGAGTTATTAGTGTAACTGCTTCTCCAATTTGTGTTTATATTTTTGAAATATGTTCTTCATCTGGCCTGAACCCATATTTCACAGCGAGCAGTTCTGATAAGGAGAAGCAACCAGCTTACTAGCTCCTCCCCGCCCGTGGCACGGTTCTCGGTCTCCCCCAACCCTGGGTGCCTGGGTGCTTTCCCTCCCTGGGAGCCTCTGTGAGGCTGCAGCCGCTTTCCCATGAGCCTCCCTACCTCCTTCAGACAGATGTGAATTACATAACGAAAGGGGCAGCTTCTTGGAGGTGTTTACCTCCTGGTCTAAACTAACTTCTAATTTTACTTGCTTAAAAATGAGGAAAGTATCCTTTAAAATTCTCCAGTGGTGTGCACGCTGTCCGCTCTATTTATTTTCTTCCTTCGGGAGCGTTAACAGCTCGCATGCTTCTGTGGCATGGGGGGCCCTCAGAGGACCCCTCTGCCCTGTGTTTCTGCCCTGACCACCATCACCTCATGTGCCTGTCTTCTGTATCTCAGAAAATTCTCCTTTGAGGTATGCAAGAGACATGGATTTTAAAATGAAAATAAATATCTGGCATTATGCATGTGGGATTAGAATCCCCCCTGTATCTTTGATGAGTGATTCTTTCCAGGCACCAGTGAGATGAGACTCCACCCTCGGTGGGTCTGCAAAGTCTACGTGGGCTGGCATTTTCACAAGTAAAATAAATTATTCATGGTACCACCCAGTGTTCCTTAGTTTTATGTTATGAGGAACTTAACAGGCTACAATATCAGGTCTTAAATAAAATTAACTATCCATGCAAAGATGTCACATCTCCTCATTTTGTTCCTCATCCATGTTAAAATGACATCTTCATCAAGTTGCCTAGTTTATAAATCATTAATTTACTCTTGGTATCATACTTTGAAATGAGGCCCACATTAGCATCATGTTTTATACCAAGATCTTTTTAGAAAACCAGCCCAGAATTTTAACCATCTTGGTAAATGTTCAGCCACATTAAGACAGTGGGCTTTTATTTTCCTAAACATTGCATTTTAAAGCAGCTGTTACTCAGACTCTTCCAGTACCACAGCCTCCAAAAATATTTCTGGAACGAAGGACTTAGAGAACTAACAACCTGATCAGAGTCCATAATTTTTGTACCTCAGACTTTGAACTATCTTTGCACTAACAGTTCTTGAGACAGTAAAACGTCATTTCTTGAACTGGGCCTTGTAGAACCTGGCCGGCTTGGTGATATATATGGCTTTCCTAAAACAGGCCGGGCTGAAATTGATATCATGGTTTATTTTTGCTCTTCAAACCGATGGGACTTCTGTGACCATTTTATAGTACCTTTATCGAAGACTTGTCATCTCGCTGCGTGCCTTGTTTCTTTTGAGCAGACGATTTCATCAGCCCCCCATTTTTCATGTCCTCTCTGTGTAATGCCGGCGTGTAATCCTTTGAACTTGGCAAGATTTTATTTCACTCCCATTTTCCTTTGTTTTCCTTTCCTCTTGGAAGCCTTTCTCTACTGATGAGAATTTTAAGTTTACAATGACTAACCTTCCCCTCCTCTGGGTGAATAGAGCATGTTCAAAGAGGACAGGCAGGCAAAAGCTAAGAAACATTTTGTTCACATTCCTTTTCCTTTAACCTCTTTGGGATTTTTTATTTTTGATTTTTGGCTGCTTTGACCCCCTCGGTTCCTTTTGATTCAATTGTATTTTCCAGTAGTTTCCAATTGTTTGAATTGGAAACAAAGCCTTAATAAGAGTTCTAGTTAATTTTCTGTCTTGTAATTACCAATCTCATTTTTCTGATAATTGGCCACAGCAATTATATGTATATTTACTAATCACATAGGGGGCTGTGTGATTGTATCTATCTGCCACCATTGATAATGACACACATATTGCAGAGGTGCTTTTATCATCTTCTTTTTTCCACTACATCAAAGCCATTTCCTCTCGTTCTCAGTAATGAATACATGCATGCATTTGACACAGTTGTGTGCTAGAGAAATTGTTTGGCTCCCACCAAATGCTGCATGCTCTGAGTTTCTTGCCTGCAGCGCTAGAAGGTTGTATGTAATGATATATTGCTCATCCAAATGGCCAAAGCACTCCAAAGCACAGTGAGATTAAAATAAGTCATTCCTTTGTTAATTTAAATAGGTGCATGTATCATACTTTGCAGGGCACTTTGTGTAGGGATGTCAGGGAGGAAAGAAAGCCGCCGAAAGGTATTTTTAATAGCAAATGAGAATAGATGAGAATGGAGTCATTTGCAGCTGCCTACTTTATGTGGTTCTCTTGTTCCAACTGTAGGTCTAATGAGATGACTGTTAAAGTACTCTGCAGTGTAATTTCATTACATCCTGAGCCGTTACACTATAAACACAGTGGCGCTCTCTGTCATTCTTGGAAAAACTCCTAAATTCTTAAAGCCTTCCTTTGCGAGTGGTAATGGGGTTTGCTCCCTGTGTTAAGCGGTGGTTGTCGCGCATTTGTTGCTGTGTAGTTATCTGCTCCTTAGAGTGACACCACCGTGGTCCACCCCAGTTCAGTGTGGTGGTCAAGGTTGGAATTTTTCTTTATGTCTTTAATTCACTGGCTTTCTCATCTGATGAGTTGGCCTAGGCTGGCAAATGGGCTGAAATTATTTTTCAGGAAAGCTTTTCCTATAAAAGCCTTTCTAGTAAAGTTTAAAAAAAAAAAAATCTGGCCCAAATGATTATGTTAGGGGCAAGCAGTTAAGAGCAGTTGAATATACAAATGAATGTAAATGAAAAGGAAAGTGTAAATAAGTAGCAAATCCAGTAAAAGAAACAAAGGTCAACACAAGAATAATTTCACAGCTCTTTGTTAATTACAAGACCATTTGTGTTACTTAAATAATCATTAATTTCTCATTTACACTTCCGTACCTTCTTGCCTACCCTGTGGCTATCATTGTCCTTTTTTCACCTCCCCTCCCTCTTTGTGCTCCTGTTTCTCACCGTTTTAAATGTGTGTGGCTTTAAATTTGGCATTTTACATAAGCAAGTGAAAGGGGGTAGGGCAGGCTTTTTAATTGGATGAGGCCTTGTTTTCCTTTCCACGGGTGGGGAATCCTTGTTATATACTCATCTTTATTCTGTTACTTTGGTGGGGGAGGAAGGGTATAAAGAAAGGAAAGGAATTATTGTGACTTTTGGTGACTTGTTTTTCCTCCATCCCAGGATTCGCCCGTCCTTCCGGTTGGAGAGTTCTCCGAGCCATTTGTACATTTCATCACTCAGTGGTGAGCCTGTTTGCAAACATGCCATGCCCTCAATGTAAATGATACATGCCATTAACTCGGAGGCTCCGTGAGACCTTATGGCTCTCCCTGCTTCTTTTTAGAGATGGGAGGGACTTCAGGGCCTTGGGCAGATGGGGCGGCAAAGCTGAAGAAATTGTTTAAATTATGTAAACGTTATTTACACAAAGGGTTGTAAATGTATTTCAGAGGCTTTTTCTGTTTTAACAAACTGCTGAGATTCAGGCTACTTCTTTGAGCCCAGATACTATTGCTATCCACTTTTTTTTTTTTAAAGAAATACACAGTTTTATAGCCCCTATTGAACAGACATATGAAGCTTATTTTTATTAATGTAACCTCAAGTTACCCATAAAACTGTCTGTCACTTAGTGGAAGCAGCATAGTTTATGAATTCATTGGATTTCCAGTAAATAACCTTTATCTTTGGTTATATTTTAAACACAATACTGGTGCCCATTTCAATGAATTTTGATGCTTGAAAGACTGAAACCATGGTTCTATCAGGTCCACTTTCAGCATCAAGGAACTAAGAAGAACCACAGAATGTAGATCAAAGGGGCCCTCGGAGTCTCCAGGCAGCCCCTTGCCTACCCTGTCATTTTACACCCGAGGAAACAGGCATTTTTCAGCTTCTGCCTTTTCCTCCCTGGAGAATGTTTTCCTTTATTAGCCCTTCACATCATCCACCTCTCCCCGACTCGTTCGGCAGCACTTATGTGGCCTTGGAAGACCCAGTTGTCCACTGCCTCCTGGTGCCCTCTTCCTGCCCCCAGCATGGAGAGGAGGAAATTGGGAGCAGAGGAACGACCACCCCAAAACAGGAGACAGAGCCAGCTAGAGCCTGGTCTGGACATGCTGGAGCTCCTTCACAACTACCTTCACTTCTCCTCCCTTTCACCCCGCTCCTTACTCCATCAGCCCTTCAGAGTGGTGTCCACTGGTGGACAATGAGCCCTCCACTCCTGCGGTGCCTCGGAACGTGCGATCGGGAGGCCTTGCTAAACTGAAATGGTTGCACTGTCCCCATCCCCTCCCCCCATGATCCATCTGGTGATTACGCTAAAGTGAAACCAAGAAATATTCCTTAATATAAATGTCAAGCTTTATCACCTTTTTGACTAAGTGTAATATGTTACCTCTTAATAAAAATGTCTCATACAGTTTATATTTCACAGAAAAAAAAGTGTAGAGAAGAGATTCCCCCTCCCCTTATTTTTACAATTTTATTAACACTGTTTCTATTTATTTTAAATACTTACATAATAGTCCGTCACTTTTAAAAACTGTTTTCACTCTGCAAACAGTTTTTTCCAAAGCATGCCATGTTGAAAAAAATATATATGTTGGTTAATATTAGAGCCATTATTCAGAAGTATTTTTAGTCTTTCTTAATTTCCTTCTCATGGAATTCCTAGAAACACTCAGAAGCACATATGGGAATGCCCCATTTTGAAATGCAGAAATTGGAAAACAAACCGTGCAATTCCTAAACAGCCTGGAGTGCCTGGTTTGGGCATCACTGGCTCCGGAAACGTTGGGTTTCCTTGGATTTGTGACGGGATGACCATGCTTATCTCTAGCTCACTGTGTGGGCTGAGACCAACCTGGGGGTGGGGCCAGCTCTGCAGACAGGGAAAAAAGCAGATACTATTTTTGCCTTCCCTCCTGTCCCAAAAATTAATCAGCTGTTATATAAAAGTTTTATGGAGACAGAGGGAGGGATAACCTGTGCTGAAATCTCCACAGATGTCATGCTGAAACCGAAATGATAATGGGCAATAGCCTTGTTTTCCCAGGAGATACAGCTACTTTGGAATGTCAGATTAGGACTGTTCGCAACTCCACCAGCGAGACAGCTTGAATTACTTGCTAATGGATGCAGTATTTGAGAGGTGCATATGGTTATTTATAGGGAAGGCAAATGTCCTTGATGCCATTAATGGCTCATAACTATGGTTCTTGTTTACCAAATGATCATTAAATCTCTCTACTTAAAAAAAATACTGTCAGCAATTGCAGAGATTGTATGAAGGTTAGAGGTTGCCTTATATAAAGAAAAACCATCTGTGTGATTTTCCAGTAGAAGCAGCAATCTGTCTTCATGACTTCAGCCCACAGACACTCTGAGTTTTGTATAAATACAGTTGTCTCGTGCAGGTGCTTTATCATGTAGCTGAGTACACACTACAGCTACTAATTGTACCTATTGCACTAAGACAAGAAATATTTTACATGAGGGATGTGATTCTTTAAGCAGCTTAATCAAACTTAACTTTTTCTACAGCTGTTTAATGAATTGGCAACTTGATTGTAGCCAAAATAAATGAAAGTCGAGATAATGTAATATTAACCCATTTGTAATTTTGTAGCATTATCTAGATTCCTGACCTCATTTATTATTTGGAGTAACAATGATGACATGAGATATTTTCTCATTTGAGCTGATAGTCATGTTTCTTTTATTATCTTATCCCAATTACCAAAAAGTATATTGTTCCCTAAATTTAAGTTTGAAATAAATTGACAACTGAATCAGGAAGAAAATATTGCTGCTTTTTTTCACATTAGTTTCAAAAGTAGAATTAAGATAAATTTAAATTCATTCTTTACCTGTTTTGCAAGAGTAATTTTAAAAATTTGTGTGTGTGTGTGTGTGTGTTTCTGATTCTTGAGAAAGTCTGATTAATGAAAGGCCAAAGTAAAGGAAAAGGAATATACAGGCATTGCTCGGAGATATTGCAGGTTCGGTTCCAAACCACCGTAATGAAACAAATATCACAATAAAGCAAGTCGTAATCTTTTTGCTAGTGGAGGGTCTTGCCTTCAATTTATAAAAAATGCAACATCTTCCCTGACCGGTTTGGCTCAGTGGATAGAGCGTCGGCCTGCGGACTGAAAGGTCCCAGGTTCGATTCCGGTCAAGGGCATGTACCTTGGTTGCGGGCACATCCCCAGTAGGGAGTGTGCAGGAGGCAGCTGATCGATGTTTCTCTCTCATTGATATTTCTAACTCTCTATCCCTCTCTTTTCCTCTCTGTAAAAAATCTATGAAATATATATTTTTAAAAATGCAACATCTGTGAAAGCACATTATACGAGATGTGCCTGTACCTTGGCCAAGAATTGAACATGATAACATCCCAGATCCAGGGGAAATAGTCAGTAGTGGGTATTATAGCACAAATTTACAAGTGATATAAATAATAGGCGTTTTGTTTTTCTTCTTACAGCATGCGAAAACAGCCAAAAGAAAGGCCAGCGCCTGAGGAATTGATGGTAAGTAAATTCTTTCACTTACATTAGACTTCTCCATTTATATAACTGCTTAACATTCTGTTAAAAGGACCAGAGTGGAATTTGAAATATTCACAGGCTCTGGAGAGGCAACCGTTTATACTTAATTTGAGTAGGTGTGTTTGAAGCTCCGATCCTCAGCTAGTAGTTTTTACTTTTTAAAAGCCCACCACCATTTTGAAACTCAGTGCAGAGCTCTTTTCCTTTGCCTTCCACTCAAGAGTCATAAATTAATCTAGGCTCTGCCTCATCCTCATTTGCTATGCCAGCCTCTCAGAACTCAAAGGATTGGTCACAGAGAAGACAGCGTGTTGAGTTTTTAGTGCAACCCTACAGGAAATTTTGAATGTGGCCTAGAGTCCTCTTGGAGTGATGTAGAATGAAATTAGATTGGCTGCAAAAGATCAAGTTAATGTGAACCTTTGGTCTTTCCTCAGAAAGACAACCCCAAGGCTGCTGGTGCTGTGTTCTCAGCTCCAAGATCGCTTTCTTTGATTGCAAATGACAGTTTTTAGTCAAGCAGGGAGAGGAACAGAGACGCTCCCTAACAATTCCCAAATGGTCATTTATTTAGTGCAGATTGTTGAGTTGACAGTGCACAAGCTGTTTAAGTAACGTTAGAATTGAGCATTAGTAAGTAATAATTATAGTCTCTTTCTAATGCTTTGCGTACCATTCCCTATCTTCAGATTGTTGCTGTCAGAGCAAATTTTCTTTCGCCACTTTCAACAATATGCAGTTTATAGATACTGGGACAGAGGTTTTCATCCTGTGTATTTTGTCCTAATAAACACTCTAAGCGCACCAACTTCTGTGTAATACAGGTTTCATCCCCAAACAAAATAACTGTCCTGTCCCCTTTGCATCGTGACTGCTTTCCAGGGAGGTAGCTTTCTCCTTCCTGTTACCCCTGAAGCAACATTTCATTTCTCAGGGTAGTTTCAAGTTAAAGAAAGTTCACCCCTAAAACCTCTATGATTTGTAGCTATGCAGGTTTCATGTCTAGAATAAACTGGTCTTGGTGGGGTGGGGTGTCTCTTTGATGGTTGGGAAATTCTTGCGGTTAGTCAAATTTAAGAAAACTTGGAGCAGGTTCTAGATATGGAGCCCATTTACCTTGTACATTATTATGCTATAGCTGGATAGCATAGGGTGGCCAATAGGGTTTCATAAAACAGATATGTTTGTAAATGCATGTTTCAGTGCTACATTGAGTTGGCCACTTATAAATAAAACATCAGCCCTAGCTGGTTTGGCTCACTGGATGGAGCATCGGCCTGGGGACTGAAGGGTCCCAGGTTCGATTCCAGTCAAGGGCATGTACCTTGGTTGCAGGCACATCCCCAGTAGGGGGTGTGCAGGAGGCAGCTGATCGATGTTTCTCTCTCATCAATGTTTCTAACTCTCTATCCCTCTCCCTTCCTCTCTGTAAAAAATCAATAAAATATATATTTTTTAAAAATTGCTTAAAAAAAGAAAACATCTGCAGATGGTACATAGGGACATATGTGTTGGTAAGGAACACCATTCCAGGGTGTCATGTCATAAAGATAAGGTAAGGGTGGGTATGTTCAGTGTCTGTGTGTGTGTGTGTGTGTGTGTAGAGACACAAGGGATACATATTTCAATATATCTCTTTACAACTATACATCCTGGTGTGTGCTGTCCCGCATTTCTAATTAATAAATATCAATAAATCAGTAAAACACAATGAAAAATTTAGTCACAGGAACCACTATCCTATACTTAATTTAACATTATTTCTAGTGCTGCTCACAGTTTGATTTAAATGAATGGATTCCCTCGGGTATAGCAATAGTGAGGCTCCCCTGGCTTAGAAAGGGCTCAGTGAGGAGGCAGAAAACGAGTGTGTGTTAGGCTCCTGTGGTCCAGGGGATTGGGCCCTGCCTGCCTTTGACCAAAATGTTGGGCTCATAGGTGATGGGAAAGAAAGTGCATGGTCCCTGGCTTCAGGAACCTGAGTTGCATCCTGGGGACCCAATCTTAAAGAACCAGTTTCTTTATTCCTTCTAGCATATTAATGGCTTTAATTTTTCCTTTTCTCTTTCCGCCTGCAACCTATTTGATGGTGCTCCCATCTGGAAGCTGAGAGCATCCTCTGGAATGAATGAACTGTAGAGCCCATTTGTCACTGTAGTCGGGGGCCTGCCTTTCACAAAAAGAGCAGTTTATTTCCCAAGCGCAGTAACTCCAGGCAGCAGGATACCAACGTGGTCTGCACAGCTTGGGCCACATCAGCTGTGAGGCCTGCAGGATTGTCAAGGTTTCCCTATGGGCCTGCATTTTCCAAATCAAAGGAAGAAAATCAGATGGTTTGGGTGAAAACACTGAGAGCTACAGATTCACCATCAGGGAGCTTCTAAATGAACTCCAGGATGGCCCTGGCCACCCGTTGCATTTTCCAATCAAAGGAAGAAAATCAGATGGTTTGGGTGAAAACACTGAGAGCTACAGATTCACCATCAGGGAGCTTCTAAATGAACTCCAGGATGGCCCTGGCCACCCGTGGATGCAGCAAGCCCCAGCCTAAGTAAAGCTGGCTGCAGGGAGGTGCGGGCCTGTGCATAGTGGGTACTTGAGCAGTTTTGGTCAGTGGCCCTGGCCACCCGTGGATGCAGCAAGCCTCAGCCTAAGTAAAGCTGACTGCAGGAGGTGTGGGCCTGTGCATAGTGGGTACTTGAGCAGTTTTGGTCATTTATTGGGTGGGATCACCTTATATCCAGAATACCCAAGAAGTAAAGTCATCATCTTTGCAATTAAAAAAAAAAAGTTTTATTGATTGATTAATGGATTTTTTTTTAGAGAGAGGGAGGAGGTGGGGGAAGAAAGAGAGAGGAAACATCAACTTGCTGTTCCACCCATCCATGCATTCATTGGTTGATTCTTGTATGTGCCCTGATGAAGGATCAAACCCACAACCTTAGTGTATCAGGACGATGCTCTAACCAACTGAGCTAGCCAACCAGGGTATCTTTGCAATTTTTGACCATGTCAGTCTTAAAGATGAAGTATACAACTCAAGTTTAGACTCTTGAGGCTATTAAAATTTCAGTGTTAGAACTAATTTAGTTGTTTAGCTGTTTAATTCTTTCTACACTGTGTGGTCGTTCCAAAGATAGTTTTTGTGTTCTAAATGGAAATACTTGAACACTGGACCAAGAAATTTCCTCAACATTTTGGGTAGGCTGGGGTCCATGTGAACTGGTACACTTTTCTGGCAGTAGCCATAGCTACATAAAGAATTTACTGTAAAGTTCCACATTAGGATCCACATCATCTGGAGAGCTCTCAGGACCAGTTAAACAATTGAATTCAGCAGATATGTATAGACCCTTACATGCAAAGTCCTATGCCAGACTCAGCAGAAGATACCAAGAGTAAGCCACATGCATATAGTCTTGCAGGGGATGCAGAAATATACAAATGACTAGAATAAAGTAACTGCCAGGAAGGACTCGGTGCTGTGGGGATCCATCTTGGGAAATGGGTAAAAGCTACATGGAGAAGGTAGCATTTGAAAGGGCCTTTGGAGGATGGATTAAACTTTAATAGAGAGTTTCAAGGGGACATTCCAGGCAAAGCATGCCTGTGTAGAGGCCCCAGACCTTTTCGGTGCAGTGCAAAACCTCTGCTGCCTGCTGGACCAGAAATCCCTTCGCCATTGGCCTCGTGGAGTCCCACACCCACAAACATGGAGCTCAGATAGGCCACATATTCACCCCCAGCTGTGCAGTCTGCTCAGAAATTCCATTTCTTACAGAAGGAAACCTAGTGTCCAGGCCTGAAACTGACTGACACAGAAGCAGCGCACCCACCCGCACATGCCTTTTTCCCTGAGTGAGTGCTCTTTTAAAAATATATATATATTTTTTTATTGATTTTTTTACAGAGAGGAAGGGAGAGGGATAGAGAATTAGAAACATCGATGAGAGAGAAACATCGATCAGCTGCCTCCTGAACACCCCCTACTGGGGATGTGCCCACAACCAAGGTACATGCCCTTGACTGGAATCGAACCTGGGACCCCTCAGTCCGCAGGCCGACGTTCTATCCACTGAGCCAAACCAGTCAGGGCTGAGTGAATGCTCTTGAGTGGACTCCCATTCAATATGGGGACTCGCCTTTAGACCCAACAAAGGAAAGCAGCCGTGCGGGCAGCCAAGAACATGGAGCATGCCGACAACCAGACAGGACCCCACACGCCCTCTTTCTGCTCCCGCGAAGCCGATGCCAGCATGAAGGAGCACACGTTTAAATCACCCTGAAGTGTGTCGCAGGAAAGACCTCTGTCTGTGCTGCCCCAGCTCTGTGACCTGGTCCTGCAGACTTAGAGAAAAGTTCCCAGGCTGCAGCAACTCTGGAGGTGCAGACAGAATGTTCCGCAGGCCTCAGACAAGCAAGCAGGGATGTCACGGCTCATGTAAAGGAAATAACAGAAAATAGCTTCTACTGGTCAAAAAGGATTGGTGAGGCTGCAACAAGAAAGGGGAGGACAATGATGCAAATTGTCCCAGAATGTCAATAATCAGACTGAGAAAGCAAAAAATTAAAAATCAGACCCTCAAACTCAGAGACAGCCTAGATGGGAACACTGAGATGGAGAGGTCCGAGTCTGCTTTGCTATTCAAAGTATATGTTTAAATATTTTTTAATAAAAGGGATTTGATGAGAAGCATTATGGTACAGGTGAGAGAACCCCTTCTGCAGAATTAATCTTCCTTTAGGGTCAGGCTGTGACTTAGCAGGGAAGGCCTCCACACTTCACTTCCTTTAGCAACTCCTAGTTCCCTCCCCACTGAGTGTCTTCATCTGCAAAATGAAGGGGAGGACTAGATCAGCAGTCCCTGACCCAGGGTCTGGGACTTCAGGAAGTCTGTGAGAGCCCCTGAAATGACCTCTCAAATCAGGCATGCATGTGGGGATTTCCTGCCTTTTTTTTTTTTCTGAAAAGGGTTTCATGG